AGGCATTACTGTGGATGAGTCCCGGAATCGTTTTGAAAAGTGGAAGACACGTTTGGACCGATGCATTCGCTCAAATAGAGACTACTTTAGAAATGATTAAAAATTGTTTAAAAAATGTAGGTAGTTGCGAGTTAATGCGAATAATGCGATAGCATTATTAAGCTGCTCATCTGAGATTTCTGTCTATCTGGCCCCTAATCTAGTAGGCAGGGGAGGGGGAGGGGGGGGGGGGTTCCTGCTCTCCTCTTAACCTCTTTCAATTCAGGTTCCCCGCTAAATTTAGCGAAAACATTGACGTCAAAAGACCTATGCACCAATTCAGTGCCCCCCCCCCCCCCCCCCCCGCCCTGAATGTAGTGGAAATTTCGATGTTACGTGACCTAACGTCACGGAACCTACAAACCAATTCAGCTTTTCCGCTAGATTTAGCGTAAAATTGACATTGCATGACCTATACACCAATTCAGATTCCCCGCTAAATTTAGCGGAAAGAATAACATCACGTGATCCCACATCAACCTTTAGGGCTCTAGGCCCTCAACGTTGTCCTAGAGGTCGTCCTTGAAGTCGCCCTAGACGTCGTTTTTGAAGTCGCTCCAAACGTCGTTCTTAACGTCGTCCTCCAGGGCGTCGTCTATGGCCTCGTAACAAAAGGAGGTAAACATGACGAATGCTATCACAATTCATAGACAACCAACAATAGTGGTTTCCGCAGCCATTCCTTTTATTTCAAAGCTCCGGTTATTTTGGGTCCCCCTCGTATGAGGCGAATGACATTGAGGATTGGGCCTAGTTGGTTTATCCTTATAACTCGAATATTACAAGAAAGTGAATTCGATGTGCTTCCTTTCTGAATTCCTCACATAGAGGTCTTTAAATTAATATTGTCACGAATGACAATTGATGAGGCGAAGATAACTGACGAAACTAGACGTTGAATGGGGCGAACTTGTGCCCAAAACAATAAGGGAACAGAAGAAAACAGCAGAGCGTCGCGGGCGTCGATGTCGACGAAACTGCAGGATTGAGCGCAGGGGCGAGACTGACTCCGCTCGCCTTGCTGAGTCCCTTATGTACCCTCGTTGGTTTCTGCATCATTCGGCGTAGAACTTTCGGTGCGTAGAACAATCGGAACACGATCAGGCGAGAATTTTCTCGAACTTACGAGAAGGCTAAGTTGAAAGAATAAATAAAACGACAGTCCGCTGACTGGGAATCGAACCTACACCTACCGCGCGACAGTCAAGCGCTGTAACCACTCGGCCATGCACGCGCTTGCTCGCCAACGTGCGTGGCAATATAATAAAACTATTTTCTAATTACTTATAATTTTTTTAAATAATATTATAAACTTTTCTGGTCTATATTAACGACTTACCCACCCGTGTTCTTTTTTTTATTTATTGGAACATTTCTACCGATATCCAACCCCTTCAGTCCAACCCTGACGCAATAAGAGCAAGGTGTTCCACCTGGCTAATGACACTAGACCTCTCTAAAACAAAACGTATGTCGTTCACTAATTTCTTTACTCCAATTATAACTTTATACTTTCTAAATAACAATGTGGCCGAAGTCACTTCTACGTATTTGTGTCAAGGTAATAATTTTCAGGCTGATTTAGGATGACATTGCCGCATTAATCTCAATCGTTCATCCGCTAATCGTTCACTTGAACTCAACTGGCGGAACCTCAAATAGGCTTCTGCTCACTTAAGAAAACTTGCCTAGATCATACTAATCCGCCAAAAAATTGAATATGTTTTTGTTATTTGATATCCTAACCAGTCCTATATATGATGAATTACATTGAATCCCCGCAAATGATGCTGTTCGTGTCATTGTTCCGTATTATTCATAGTTTTCCAGTGTTGCAGAATTACAAAATGGTGTCCAGTTGCACTCTTTATCAGATCGCCTGAAACTCGCTCGTCTAACATTGTTCCACAAGGTTTATCATCACGGCTCGCTTCACGATGGCTTCTTTCAGGCACCTCGCATAATGTTTCCACGCCGGGATCACTCATATGAAGTTAAGCATAGTACGTGCCACTCGTCTCTTTATGAACAACCATTTTTTACCGCGAAGAAAAATCGGTTTGAATCACCTGCAAGCACACATAGGGACTGAAGATGATCCAACAAAGTTTCAAGAACATCTTTAATCTTTATCACCTAAAAAACCGTAGTAAAAAAAAAGAAAAGAGGTCTGGCTTTTCACTGACCATTACTAATGTCCCACTTTATGTAGAGAATTAAGGTATACTTAGGTGCACTCTAGATTAGATATATGTTACCTTATCAAGACGTAGGCGTTTCAAACGCCAAAAGCGTCGCTATTTCCTCTGACAACCTAATATCGTAAAAACTCATTCGAGCCGCCTATGAGCAATGAGCAGAACTAGTTTTTTCTTGAGGTGAAAACAACTATAGGTGTTTTTATTTTCCCTTTTCTGTTGACCTGTACTGATATGCCATGTTCATCGTTTTCGCGTGTTTTTGTTCATGTTGTTCAGCAATCATACTTACAGTAATTACTTTCTGTATCTTTATGTACCTCCCCCACCCCTTGTATTACCCTCCCCTGGAATGCCTTTAGGGGTATTCAGAATAAAAAGAAACGTATCTATATTAACGGGACAATAGGGCATTGCTGCCTGACGGGGTTAGTCCGCCGTACTGTCCAACTCAGTATATGCATACATGCGCTAGTTAAGGTAGTGGCAAAGGTAAAGCCAGCAAGTAAACATCAGTCAAACAAAAACGTCCTTAATTACCGGAAAACAAAAATTCAGATATTGTTTTCGCGTGTTTTTGTTCATTTTGTTTTACAGACATACTAACATTTTTTTTACTTTCTGTGTTTTATACACTCCCCTCTCCTCCCTATGTAATATCCTCCTTTAAAAGACATTTAAGAAAATTCTGAAAAAAGAAACAATTGTTTGCATATTTGCCGGCAATGTCGGGGAGGGGGCGGGGACTATAAGAAGTGCTGCCCGACGGGGTCCCTCCGCCTAAAGTCCAAGGTAGTGTATGTATGCACTATTTAAGGTAGACCAACAAACAAAAATGGCTAAAATGAATATATATATATATATATATTACTTCTTAATTAGCTGAAAAAATGCAGTCCTCAGCTGGCGTTTCATAATAAACAACTACCAAATTAAGCGCGAGATGGGCAAGGACATGTATTTATTACACCAAATACGTACGCATGTCGTCTATAAAGTGAGGGGGAAAACGCACTAAAAAAACGAGGAAAAAGACGAATATAAATAGCTGGAAACATTAATATTTAATATACATTAGTTCTATACTTTTTGGAAACTTAATATTAGAAAAAAAATATATGCCATGCCGATGGAGGACGTTCGACGAATGAGGACGAAGGATTGATACGAAAACGGAGAAGCAGAACTTGGGACGCCTCCCCGTTGATAACTTGCCACTGTGTTGATAAGGAGCTCGGGACGATATATAATCGCCCGAAGTCTTCTCTGAAAGCTCAGAAGAAGCCAGGTCTCCGTTTGGACAGCAGGTCCTATCCCGCATTTGGCATCCTCACACGGTGAGCACCGAACGCTTCTCCTTGTCGCATTTTATTTAAGGCGCCGATGGAGAGGAGGAACCCAGAGCGCGCGTTGGGGAGATCGGAATGCCGAACTCTGATTGGAGGGATTAGAGGGTAGACCTAAAGCTATAGCTGCCTTTGTCTGCACTGCACTCGTCGAACGCGTTTCAACGCAGAACGCCGGAATCCGATGTCTGGCTCTCGCATTCCATCGCTTTCGACCAGTGCAGTGCATACAAAGGCTGCTATAGCTTTAGGTCTACCCTCTAATCACTCCAATCAGAGATCGGCATTCTGACGTCCCTCTCATATCCTCCTCTATCTCAGTTCTCGGCGAATACAATCTAGAAAAGAGAAATCTGTGGGGCTATGTTCGACAAATGTTTCGTTTCTCGTAAAAAGAAACGGAAGTGACGATATCGCGTCTTATTGGTTAGAGCAGTGGTTCTCAACCACTGATGTTTCGCGGACCCCTTGTGGATCGGTGAATATGATGGAGGACCCCATTCGCGGTGAGGGGAAGGAAAAGTTATTGAGTAATTATGATAGTGATTTAATAAATTGATGTAACTAAGGGCTAGTGTGAAGTAGACTTCTCTTATTGACGTATACACGAGAACACTCACCCAAGAAATGGAAGGTTTATACTTAATCTGTAAAAAGACAACTTTTATCGCCAGGAGGCACGGCTTCGCGGACCCCAAAAGATCCGCGGACCCCCATTTGAGAACCACTGGGTTAGAGGCTGCCATGACGAAAGTTCCCTCTTTCGTCATTTAAGCCTCTAGCCAATCAGACGCGATATTGTCAGTTCTGTCACTTCCGTTTCTTTTGAGGAGAAACGAAACGTTTGTCGAGCATAGCCCCCAAGGTGTGCCTACTTTTTTTGCAAACCACTTGAGAGAGCTAATCGCTGCAACATACGGACAGAGATCAGCGAATGACGTGGCTGAAAATATCGTTAGTCCTTTAAAAAGAGAGTCAGCGATGTTACATTGAGCATACGGTTTCACCATGCTCAATGTCAGAACGCAAATTGTTGTTTCTTTAGTTCTTTTTCTTCTTTTTTTTAGTTCTAAACATATTTTTCCTTCATCATATGCAGAGCTATCTCCGAAAATTGCAGCGATTCTCACTCAGAAGAGGTTTAAGAAGAAATAAGCGCTCTGTTGCTGTTGTTGTTTATAGATTGTAACATTGAAGTTGAGGTTCATTATACTTATAGGCACGTCCGTTTAATATTTTTTTGAACTTTTCGTACTTATGCTTATCGTTTTGTAGTGAGGGTATAAATGTCTTACGTGTTTGCTTACTGTCCAGGCTGCCTCTATCTTGTCCCTGTATGTTTTTTTATTGTATTTTTTCAATTTGCCTTCCCGTTTCTTTTTTAGACATTCAGACGCTTTCCAAAAAAAAAAAAAAAATGTTGCGGTTGGTGACCTTTCTTTTTGCTGCAAGCATATTTGGTAAGTGAAGGTCTAACTTCTTGTTCGATCGGACAAAGAAAGACAGAAATGAGGCTGCAAAGCTTTTCTTTAGAAAAAATCTCGTGTAGCCAGTTCTATCTGACCGATGTCGAAGAGAACTACGCACGGTTTTTGTACGGAAAGCCTTTTGATACGTATCAAGAACACACTGCCGGAATACGGCTTTCAATCGGAAAAATGAAAAGCTGAATGACGCCCGTTGCGGAAAACGGGAAAAAAACGGGCTTCGTTTCCCCATCAGCTTTTTTTTTTAACTTTAGAATAGGTTAGCGTCTACTTCTGCAACCTTGGTGTCTGGTTCGGAGTTGCAGCGCTACATTTGAGCGCAGAATGAGCGTTCACCGATGCGTAGTTTGTTCTTGCAGTAAAAAAAAAATATGTATATATATAAACTTTATCATTATTTCCTTGGTTCACGACGTAGATTAAGAAACAACAGTTGCAACATTTTAGTAGCCTAGTTATACTAGCGCTCTTAACAGTCATTAAGTTAATGACAGTTTACTCAATCGAGTTCGGCCGGAAGCACACGGGGGCGCCAACTGCCATTGAGACGCTAACGACCATTGAGATCCAAAGATGGCGGCGTCCGTCATAAACATTCATTCCTAAACAGTGTAACTTGTCTTCACAGACTGTGGTGAAAGATGCTTTTTGTTTCTCTAGGATATGGAGTGACCGTGAATGACTTCAACGACCTTGTTGACGAGGGCGTTGGCTGGCATCTACCGTCTGTCAGAAGGAACGGACATTCGCTTCATCTGGAGGCGCACATTCCCATCCACAACTTCACGGTAATGGGGCATTATTCCCTGTACGGTAGACAAAAGATGGGCTGCTCTAACTTGCACTACTGTGCCTGGAACGCGTCTCCGACTGGTGTGTTTACCGGGTCCAAAAAAGTGGTCCCTCGATTTCCGCCTGATGACGTCATAGAAGCGTCAGGCTGTCGCCGGTCGCGACCCTGGTGGTGTCTCAGCAGCTGTGATGTATGTGGCAGACGCCTGTTCTGCTGCAGGTCGCTCTCCAATGAGGCAGTCCACGGAAGCTAAAGCAGCCGGAAGTTGGAACGCCTGGAACGCCGTGACGACAGCGACACTCGCGTTCGCCTGTGGTTTTCGCCGGCATTTCTACGACCAACCAACAGGATCGCGACATGCAACAGCATGCCACTCCGGCTTCTGTGACGTCATTTGTTGCCACTTTGGGACCACTTTTGATGTATGGGCGGGATAGGACGCTGAACACACCAGTCGAAGACGCGATCCAGGCACCATACTTGCACCGATCCCGTGCAGGTTTGCTGGCGAATGTGGGAGTCTCGTCCAGCGGTTAAAATTGCCGCGAGAGAGGTTGAGGTCACGTGGTGGGCTCTCTGGGAACAAAAAACTAACGTTAGCTAGCGTTCCAGGCAAATGGCTACCGTAAGTCCGTTTTCGCTCTGATTACTCGAGTTATTTTTTGCGCGCAGAAAGACGTTGAAGATGTTCGATTTAATTGACTGATTGATTTATTGATTGAGTTTTTTTGGCGCAAAAGCGTCTAAAGCTGTAGAGCGCCAAAAAACTGCGGATAGTTCAAGAAACGGTTGCTATAAAGAAAGAGAGCTCTAGCGGCCTCCTAAAATATAAAAGGATAGACATGAATCTGTATATAAATATAGTGGAGGAAAATTTTAAAATTTGCAAAGGTAGTTCAAATTCGGTGTAAAAGTCCAGTGCTTTCTAGGAATATAAAAACGTATGTATGATTTATAAAATGTTCATCTCCAGGCAGGAGAGCAAGGTGTAGAGGCATGTGTGCTGAGTAAAACTGAGCGAAGTAGAATTGGCGGTGTCTGTGATATGCGGTGCACTTAAGAAAGATAGGCACCACAGTTAATGATTCTAGGGAGTCTTCGCATGCAGCTGGATCCTCTCGGCGAAGCAGATACCTATGTATCAAATGTGTGTGGCCAATTCTTAACCGACAAAGGACGACCTCGGAAAAACGGTCCCTGTGATGGGCACTCGCTCTTGAAATGCACCCGAAATTTTTCGTCTTAGTACGTATTTAGAAGGGGCTTGTGAAGTTATTTCCGTGGAAGTTTGCGTTAAGCTGTACTTAAAGAAAAATACAGGCGAGGCTTACGAATGTCGTACGAAATCGGCTGCAACACTATCGGTGCGCTCTCCCCACGGAACCGGACACTAGACTTAGAAATCCCCAGTAAACCGGCCCAGAAGGGTACAGCAAAAGCTTTTCTTGAAGTGGGTACTTTCGGATGCTGGAATCAATAACGAGGGTTGAAATTCAATAGAACAAATGCTTTCTTGCTTCTAGCACAAACTTAAAGGCTGGTTCACACATTTGCGTTTGAGTGCAATCCAGTACGTTCTGTTCCCTCGTCGTGACCGCTTACGACAGGGCAACACAGAGGCACACTGGCGCCACCTATCAGGTACTAATGGAAACACTTTTGATTTCTTCGTAAAGTGCAAGGTGTACAAGTGCAAGGCACAAAAGATTACATAAGTGCTTGATAACATGGCACAGCCATCGCTGTGACTGTAATTTGGACTCGCACGGGAATGCTCTTTTTTTTCGTAATAGAAACGCCGAGCGAATCCCATCAGACGTCTAGATTAGAAAAAAAACGTGCAGCGCGACAACGGACAAGTGAAACGTCACGCTCGATGTCCCGGAGTTCATAGCATTTTTTTTTGTTTTGCCTAATCGTATTCTGTGCTGCTTCAAACGGTGGGATTCTGGTATCGGTCTCAGTGATTTGTTGCCTCGTGTTCTACAGGGAAGTGAACACACACAACTTTCTTTTTTCTTAGAGTATATTGTATCTACTACTTTTTCTTCAACAGCAGAACTTGAGACCAACTTCTTTTTTTCTATATAAAGGTTTTAAGCAACGGATTTTTCAACGTAGACTTAAAGGTGAACCTAACCGATGGAGCAGTCAAAGGACTCAACGTTGTGACTCGCCGTCTTGGAAGCTGCGACCGATCTGCCTGCCTCATTGATCTGAGCGGACTCGTGGTCACATACATCGCACAGGTATGACAACCCACCTTCCTGAAGATGATATTGACGAAGATATGGAACTATAGTGGGCGCTCTGTCGATTGTTTTGCACAGAGCTCAGTGTTTACCCAACACAAAGCGTGTGGACTGAATTATTGCCGTCATCTCGCTCGATCGAGCGCGAGGCATAGATTGAACAAGAGTGCTGCTACAGCGTTCGGCAGGACTTGCGTTGAATGGGTGCTTCCCTGATAGAACACGAGCCCCAATCGGACGCTGACGAAACTGTCGGTTACGTCAGCCGTGCGCTGCGTGAGGAACACAAACGAATAATTCGTGTTGTTGCTGTCCCCACATGTTTAGTTCCCAACTTAGCCCGTAGGGCCATAACGACTGGATCTGCTTCCCATTACACCTTAAGGGGAATTCACATGGGGGATCTCGCTCGGGGAGAGATGTCCGTGACGTCAGCGATCGGTGGAATCAGCGGTCTTCAATCCCCGGCTCTAGCGTTCACACGACGGCGGGGGAGCCAAGAGGGATGTCAGTGTCATCAGACCGATTTAGCGGTCGCACACACTCTCGGTAGCGCACACCGAACCTTGATGTTGAGTGTGACACTCGACAACAAGGTTCGGTGTGCGCTACCTAAAATAATTTGAGGCGCACACAAAACGGCGGTACGCGATTATGACAGCAGCGCTATTGGATGCAAGAGATGACGAACTGTTTCCTGCCAAAATGGATGATTCTTGAATGGGTGGATGCGACACAAAGTAGGTGGATCCAAAACTAGTATTAGAAGCAGCGGCTTGAAGGCGACATTGATGAATAGCGAAGTCTCCCTGGAGTACCTTGGACGACATGCGCACCAGCGCAAGCCACAACAAGTTAGGTGATCCAGATGCCAGCACCGGTATCCCCGCTGAGCAAGATCTGTAAAGTTGTAAGGCACGCGAACTAAATATTGCCGATTCCGAAAAACTTTCCCGCGGGAACTGTTTGTGCAGCCAGAAAAAAAGCTCCCCCATCTCCCTGGGATGTCTACACCAGCGTAGCTCCGCGCAAAGACGTGACGTTCTTATCACGTGATTGGCATTCCGGGAAGAAACGGGAGGGATTTCTCCCCCGTGTGATCATCGCCCCATAACCCAAAAGTACGGTGGAAGCCACGTGCTGGCAGGTCCATTTAAGCGCCCATATTTCGCCTCACTGATCCCGCTCATACCTACGCGTACAAATCGGAGTGACGTCACGAAACGGAGGCGTTTGATTGGTCCGGCGGGCACGTAGCTCCCACCGTCGTTTCAACCTAAAGAGATGCTGAACCGAAATCTGGATTCTACAAAACACGGCAGCAAAAGCGTGCAACGTGATGCTACAAACACCAAAACATCACTCATACAGCGGTATCTCAAACGGAATACCGTATTTCTCAAAACAAAACAAAAAAGAAGAGAGGCGTATATGACAGATATGTTTCCGTCTTGTTCCTCCGAGAAGGAGAGGGAATGCCCTCGCGTTTTCTCCGCCTTGCAGCCTTGAGGGGGCGAACCAAAGAGAGGAGGAAACGAGATATATTCACGTCACGCGCCTCGTCGGCCTGGTTCAATGTCGACCTCTTTTTCCAAAAGATACGGCCGTCCATTCGAGATATCGCCTTACGAGTAGTGCTGTAGGGATTGTAGCGTCCCGCCTACATCTCCTGCATTGTTTTTTTTTTCTGAAATCTAAATTTCGGTTCACCATCTTTTTAAAGGTGGACAGAGTTTAAACGAGGCTTTAATCGTACTAAATTGAACTTCTGTTATAAAATATCTAGAGGGGCGATCAGCCATAGTCGCCGGGTGCTTCTTAAACCCAGACCTTGGACAGACCCGAGCATCTCATTTTCGCTCCTCAGCCAATCAGGTGGCGGCATTAGCCATTTAGAATGCCGAGGAACGATTTACGAAGCGAGATGCGTGAGAATTGTTCTTCGACATTCATGACCGATGAAACACGCGTTTGTTTTCTTCTGCTAGCAATGGGCAGTCGCAAAACGAAATTAAGGAAAACGAACGGCGTTTACCCCCTGAACTCGAAGACAAAAGAAGCGGCCACGTAATCTGGCGCCGAATAAAAGCAGCCAATGTTTAACATAGCCACGCGCTGGAGTTGGAAAAGCACACGGCGTGCGCTGCGTTTGTCCAAGGCATCGTTAAGGTTCGGCTAATCTCGTCGTCGTGGCCACTGGGTACGAGCCACTACCCGAATGCATCTCGAGACATTGATGGTTAAGAGCCCAAATGGAACATCCACGCAGTGCTGGAGTGCACGGCACTAGCCGCATTTAAATATCGTCACTGCAGCGATCGCAAAGCTCGATGCCAAATCCCGGGGATCGAGTTGTTGGCGTTGTTTTTGCGAGTTCGTCATCACGTTCTTCGAAGAATAGACTGAAAGAAAGCGTCAACTTTTATCCTTCAAATTCTACTGTGACGAAATCGTTTCTCGGTCAGTGGCGTTGCGTTCGGGTATTCTTTGCTCTTCATAGTGCCCGTAAGCTTATGTAAAATAAGAAACATTCCTACCCAATATCATTGCACAGTCTCTTCAAAAAGTGAACGGTTTAATTATATATAAACGAGTGCAGTAAAACGCCCAGTTTTTTGTTACCTTTCGTTGTCACTTATTTGTTTATTTATTTATTTAAATAATGCGGACTTTTTTCAGGCCCCAGCAGGTTACACTATATTTTACACAATACATATATAAATATATAACAATGGAGAACATAGTATATTATTATGGCATTATATAAGATTTCAATCAAGCAATGACACAAAAATTAAACAAAGTTTCACCTCATTCGACAAGGGCACTGTACACAAACACATCCTTTCATCAGATTACTTTGAACAAATGCTAAAAAAGTGAATGGTTCTAAGATATCCTACTTGCAAAATCAATGTTAAGCAAAAATTTCTTGAAAGTGCGTCAAGCTATTCACGAAGGGTGGCGTTTCGCAAATTGGGATTAATTCCTCCGGCAATAAGTTCCAATCTCCAATCCTATGAACGAAAAATGATTACCTGAATGTGTAATTATTGCTGATGTACGGTGTGATCACCTTAATGTCGTAAGTTTGATTTGAGTGACTGTGTTTTTTTTAATAATATTCATCGCTCATTTTAAGGTGATCATGATAAAGTATGAACTTTAAGCGCGCAATAATCTCTCTGACTCCAAGACTTTGTAATTTTGAGTGATTAAGCAAATTGGACATGCTCTCTGCGCGCCCATATTTAAAAAAATAAATAAATCGTAAGCTCCAGTTTTGAATTTTATCAAAACCGTACGATTGATATAATTGGTGAGGGTTCGAAACAACGCTCGCGTATTCTAATGTAGGCTAAAGTAATGACTTATTTTCGGTTATCTTGCGTTCTAGTGTTGTATTTTTAACTGCGTCCTAAGAAAGCCAAATTTTCGGCGAGCCATATTACACACGTAATTAACATGTGTATCCCATTTTAAGTCCTGTGTTATTAGAATTCCTAGGTACTTAACATGGTCTGTTTTCATTTGGGCTTTTTCCATTCTAAATAATTTGCCGGTGGATAGGTATACTCTGCAGCAAAAATGTACGCAGAACTACTTGTGCGTGGCACAAGAAATGAGAGGGGGCTATATATGGTGTGTAATCGTAGAGGCCGTGCCCTGTCCTGTCGTTTGTGGCAGCTGCAGATACGTCCAAGGAGTCTTGCCGCATGACGGAGACAGACGTAGTTTTGCGTCAAAATCGACTGTGTCTGGGCCAATGACGAGGCTGCAAGTACGTTGACCTCAAGAAAAGATAGAACGGTCTGGGTTGTGTCACTGACGATAACAATTCACGCGCTTACATCCTGCTCAGCGTTAACAGCAGCGAAGACTGGTCTTTTAGATCTCAACAAATTTTCATCTGCGCCCGGCATCAACCAATGACGGTGCCAACTTTGCTGCCATGTTACTGCGCCTTCTCTACGCGTTTTCTTTGTTGTCATTTGATGGGTGTGCCCCTCTTTGCGTTCCAATGCACCAAGAACACATTCTAGATCACTTGCTGGCCGCATAGCGTTGACGATACTTCTTGTAACCTGGCTGATCGCTCTCTCTTTTTGCTTCCAGACTCAAGGGGACGGTGGAGGGCGCAAGCACATCTGGGTTAAAGTAAAGGTCACGAGTGCGCCCGCTTTGTTCAACATGGTCGATGTCAGAGCCCAGGAGGCTAGCCTAAACTCCTTGTTCATCGGCCCCATCTCAGTCAGCACGACTCACGACACCTACCTCGATCTCAACCCTAGACGGCGGAAGGAGTTCGTGGAAGAGGTGGAACGTTACACCCGCTCGGAGCTCGTCAAGATCCTTCGTGGGACCTACTTGGCGGCTCTTCAGCAGACCTTCGCTGACCATTCATTAAACTATGACAGTTGGCTTTGATATGCCTGGCTTCAGATGGTACGAGTTTTCTTCCGCAATTTCGGGAGGGAGGGGTGTTGGGGGTGGGCGTAAAGGTGTTTGTGACCACTTCTGTCAGCGCACCGCAGCTCGACAAATTGAGCGGTGTTGGAAATTGTGCGGTGTTTAAAGTACCTCGTAAAGCAGCATTACTTACTGACAACTTAAGGACCGCAGGGCATGTTCACGCTTTTTTCGCACAGAAAGGATAAAACACCAAAATGGGCAGTCTAGTTCATTCATGCCACATTGGAAGATGGGAGTTGGACAGAACAGACAAAGCTCTAAATGAAGAATTAAGTACACGAGCGCGTTGGATGTAGTTCGCACAGAAGGAATTAGACACTGAAATGGACGAAGGACAGACACTTACAGTTCTTTCAAACTCGAAAGTTTAAATACAGTTGAAAGGGCTGTGTGTGTCTGTCCTTTGTCCATTTCAGTGTTTTATTCCTTCTCTGTGAACTGTAGTTTATCAAACACGCTCTGCTGCTTGCACATCGCGCTTTTTGCTTCCAGGTTCGTTCTTTGGCAATTGTTATCTGTTAACGCCAACATCTCATTCGTTGGTAAGCAGTAATAAGATGTCAGGCACTCGCGACGCCCTGTATTTTTTTAAGCTGGTAGCGACTGTAGTTGATTAGGTAATTGTATTTGTTTAATTGGGCACTTACTGCAACACAGAAGTACTCAAGCCTCGATTCTCTCTTATTTTGTTTCATTGGGTTTACCTTGCGTAGGTACTTCATTTATGACTTCACAAGAATAATGACCCGCTTCAAAACATCTTCATTTTTTAATGTCTTGCCTTTTGATTTTGCTTCTTCGCAGACTGCTCGTGACTGTTAGCGCGAACACGACTTCGGTGTTTTCTTACATTTTGCCCTGAAAGAGTACAAGCTGCCATAAATATTTACCTCGTAATTTAGTATCCAACTGAGCACTTTGTACCACTATTCGCTCTTTCTCGAGTGAGCTGAAACCTGGTGGAGCCATTGTGCAAACAGCCCCCAACCAGTTCCGGTTCTAAACTAGACGGCGGGTTTCCCAGTATTGGCGCAATCAAATATACACGCTATCTTCTGGAAATGGCCACTTGTAGCACTATGAGGCTTTATTCACTCTAACGATTAAAGAATGACGAGTGAAAATTTAGGAATTATACGCGTACCAGAAGTGTGCCGCGGCTATTCAATAGATGGCGCCACTGAGTTTGTTGCGAAAGACAAAAGGGGGCCAATAGGGGCTTTGTTGACATCCCTTCGATACTACAATAAACACATTAAAAAGGGCGATGACTTGTTCGCGCTAACAATGTCGCGGAGTGCACCTGAAAAGCAATTAGTTGAATAAGCAGGTACTTTTTCGAATATGGCGTTAAGGGAAATTAAAGTCGAACAGAAATATAGGTCATGATGGAACTTAACCCGAGACTGGGATAGAAACAGAAACTTAAAAGTAGAAGGGACAGAGACTAGTGAAGAAGAGAACGTCTCAAACGCAGCTAAAAGATTTATTTAGTCCCACATCCTTATATACTCACAACCACAAGGTCACCCAAACACTCAACACGCCCCATTCAAAGACACAACACACCAGAAAAAAAAAATCCAAAGACAACAATGCAAAGAGACGCCCCCTCAAGCAATACTACGAACAGGGGCAAACCATCCACTTGTCCGGAAAGTTAAAACTTTTCATTTTTCCTTTACTTCTCTTTTCTCTCTGTGTGCCACTGACACTACACCCACGAACCAACAAGACCCAAAACTTGAGTACAAAGACCAACGATGTCCGCGAACACAAAGAGAACTGGGAAGAATATCTCCAAACCGGAACGACAACCACAACAGACAGATACAGAAGAACTCACTCTAAAAAGCGCAAGACCACTTCACCCTAATAAAAAAAAAAAAAAAAAAAAGAAACTTGTTTACAGTCTTAAAAATGCTTTAGCATTGTTTCCCAACTGCAATGAAGCCTGACTTATACAATTACCGATTGATTTAATCCGAATGGTTTCCCTTACCAGTCTCTTACTGGCATTCACTTCTTTATGTATTATTTCCGTCTCTGACCACAAAGCAGTGCAATTGTTACATTCATTTATGTGCTTAGCTATTTCAGAATTAGTAGCGTTAATCGTTACATTTTTCTTATGTTCTGTTAGTCTGTCATTAACACACCTCGAAGTTTGCCCTACATAAGCAAAGCCACACGCCATCGGAATTTCATACACTACACTGTTTCTGCACGAGATCGATTTTTCATGGTGACCTTTCCTGTACTCTTGCATTTCAGTTTCAAAAGGAGTTAATCTATCTAACCTGAAATCAGAACTAAAAACTGTTTCAACTTCAAACTCCTTAGCACAGGCCTTCAGGTAATGTGAAATTCCATGAAAATACGGGATCACAGCCATCCGTCTTTTCGACGTGTCTTCTCTTTCCTTTTTCTCCTTGGTGTGTACATCTAAATTCCTTCTGATGAACTCTTCTTCATACCCTGCCCCTCTTAGTCTCTTCCATTGACCTTCCACCGAATTTGTGATAAAATGTATGCATGATCGGTCTAGAGCATTTCTTATCAAAGACTTTACCACTCCCGCTTTCACCGTTTTCGAATGGCAGCTACTTTTTGACAGAACAGGTTTCGGGTTTTCTTTGCCGTACTCCCAGCAGAGACCTTTATCAGTGTGAATCCGCAGATCCAGGAATTGTAATATTCCATTCTCCGGTTTCTCTACGGTGAAGCGTAGTTCAGGGGCTGCTGATCTTATCGAATGCTCGAGACCGTTCAACAGGTCATCCCGGAAGGTGCACACAACAATATCATCCACGTAACGCCTCACAAAACACATGTCCTCTCCAAAACCTTGAATTCGATCAAACAAAACAGAGTCCAACGAGTTCAGATACACCTCCGATAAAGCCGGTGCAACCGAGGACCCAATGCACACGCCTTCCTTCTGTACAAACTTTTTTCCCTCATACTCCACAACCGTAGACTGAAGATAATAATCAAGAATGACAAGAAAACTGTCTAGCGAAATGCCTGTTTGGGATTGAAACTGAACGAGATTCGATTCTAGCGCATCCTCCACCCTTGTCATCAATCTATTTTTCTCCAGAGAATAATAGAGGTTCTTAATGTCCATCGATAAAACTGAACCTTCTCTCCCGTGGTTGACCTCCAATATACTGATTAACTCGTTCGAATTCCTGAGGGACAATGACTTCTCTACATGAGTAAACTTTAGACCGTTCTGTAGAAAGTTTGAAACTGATTTCTGCCACGTGCCACATTCGTTAATCACCGCCCGAAGAGGCATTTCCGGTTTATGATCCTTTAAGAAAAATTTTACACTTAGCGTTGACCGCATTGGACCTAACAGACTCTTTGCCACACCTTCCAAATCGTCCTCCTTAAGAACCGAACCGATCTTAGCCCTTAGCTTAGCAAGGTTTCCATTCCATTCATAGAAAAGTGAATTCATCGTTTCGTCCGTTTTCATTCAAAAGACAGTCCCGGGAAGGATGGCGAATTTCCCAGATTTGTCCGTTTGCAGTAACTTCACTGACCTCGCTTTTAAGTCTTTTTTGACGCCACTGATTTCACGAAAATTTCTCTTGTCATTTGGATACCCGTTTCCCATCACTTTCTCCATTTTACTAACAGCACCATCTATAAACGCTACTCGCTCATCAGGGTTAACCTTCCTGGCAATAGTCTGCATGCACGAAAAAACATCCAGCTTTGATGGCTTCATGTTTAGACAACATTTCGGTCCTCTCCCCAAAATTTCTTCCGATTTTGACGAAATAAGTTCACTGTACGGGTTAACAAACGACGTCTGAGGCATACAACCACCATTATTGTAGACCCAAGACTTCCCGCTCTCCTCGCGCCTAGAACCACACTTGATACTGTCCAAAACAATCCTACGTTTCACATACCAAAGACGGTCGAAACAGGCCTTCTTCATTCTTTTCCAGTGCTGGTAGTCCGGGTGGTGCTTGAACTCACTTCCAACCAGGAGGGACCACAGTCTTTCACACGCGCTGCGGATTTCCTGGATCCTTTGAGATGCACCATCTCTGTAAGCCTTGATTATCTTCTTCTTGAACCTCCACGGTATCCCCGATGTCCATAGATGCTTGAAGAGTTTTGGATCAATGTAGTTCGTCCGCAAAGAGATGCCAAAAAACGAAACGTCGGCTTCCAATTCCGCAAGACGGCGACCAAATTTGTCCAGCACGTTGAAAGCTTCATGAATAACGGCAATCGGCGTCGGTGTGAACGTTTGAGTATTCGAAAAGGGGGGCACTAAGCCTGCTTCTGGTACAATTAGTGAAAAAACGGTTAAAGTGCAGGCGAGCTGGTGGATATTTACCATGATGGAACTTAACCCGAGACTGGGGTAGAAACAGAAACTTAAAAGTAGAAGGGACAGAGACAAGTGAAGAAGAGAACGTCTCAAACGCAGCTAAAAGATTTATTTAGTCCCACATCCTTATATACTCACAACCACAAGGTCACCCAAACACTCAACACGCCCCTTTTAAAAGCACAACACACCAGAAAAAAAAAAAAATCCAAAGACAACAATGCATAGGGACGCCCCCTCAATCAATACTACGAACAGGGGCAAACCATCCACTTGTCCGGAAAGAAAAACTTTTCATTTTTCCTTTCCTTTTCTTTTGTCTCTGTGTGTCACTGACACTGCCCTGCCCTCTTTGACCAGTTCACCTATGACCAGTTTCCCTATGACGACTTGGCTGTGACGAGTGGGCCTGTTCCCAGAATCCCATTTTGGCTATATATATATATATATATATATCTATATATATATATATATATATATATTTTTTATTTTTTTTATTTTTTACGGTTTTGGGTATATTTAGGGTATACCTCCCAGCCGTTGGTCCGTGTTTGGCGGTACCATCTGGCAACACTGTGTAGTTACAGGACGCACA